CTAAAATCTCCAGAGTCCATCCCTGCTAGTGTAAAGAACAACCAGGCATATTCTAGCCCAAGGCTACAGGGAAGAAGCTGGACTTTATGTAAAAGAGCTGCTCTGGGCCAGGATGGGGCTTGGCACCAGAACCATGAGCAGGAAAACTGCCTCTCAGGTGTTAGATGATGCTGGATCGTATAGAGGAGAGAAACCACCATGCACAAATGTTGAAGGTGTAAGAATCTGACCTACATTATTATGCGAAGGACTGGGCAAGAATGTGGAAGAAAAAGAAAAAAGATCTGGCAAGGAATCAGGGGACAGGCAAGCATGTCTGACTGGTCAGAGACTTGAATGGAAACAAAGACCACTGCCTTGATGATCTGCTCAGGTCCCTTCCAACCCTACCAACTATGAAACTGACTCTCCCCATTTCTGTGCTGTCAGTAAATATCTGACACGTAGTGTGGGACCACATTGTATAGAACAAGGTACTACTGCTGTACACTTTTAACCTGAGTTGCAGGGAGTTATGTGAATCTAAAGGTTCCAGCCTTGCTGATGAACTTTGTGACTGCCGATGTAATGCCAAGTAATAGAATTCCTATACAAAAAGTATTAGAGTATTACACAATATATCAGTTGCATATCAGATCAGTACCAATGAAAGGAAAATTAACATTATCAGCTATTGGCATTTTTTTGGTTGGTGTAGACGATAATGTCACTGGTAAATATAAAGTGCCTTCTGGCCAGGGCCCCCTGATGCTGCATGCATGCACACAGCAGCCATACCCGTGATCAGGAATGCAGCTAGCCAGTGTGGAGAGCAGTGCCCTGTGGGTAAGTCTGCAGAGCGAAAGGGGTCCCTTTCCCCCTCCCCCCACCCTTTCCCCTCCACCAACTTACTTGCTGGGCACAATTCCATGCTGCCCAGCTGCATTCCTGTAAATTGGTTATCAGATTGTTATCGGCCAATATGGCTGGTGAATAATTGGCTTTTGGTATTGGCCAATAAAATCTTTATTGGTGTACCCCTAACAAGTGTAACATAGTATTGAAGTGGGGTTGCACTGAAGAGGAAAGTGAGAAATTCAGTGGCTAACGTGGTACTTAGAAAGCCTTTACATATATTACAGCTCAGATATGGGAAGTCAGGTGCTGTACATGAGGGTGTTAAACATATTTTATAGTAGTCTGAGTTCAGTGCTGACTGAACAGAATAATATGGATTTTAAGAAGGCAATAGGTTGGTTGTAATTAGGTAGAACCTTCCTCTCCCTTTGCCCCCCCTCCTGCCCCCTGCCTCTGCCATTAGCACTTAATTGGTAAATCATCCAGTAGTGCAAGGTTTGGGGTATAAGTTGCATCCTATCTATAGAGATACTCCCTCCAAATGATGTTGGAGAAACGTTATCAAAACAGTACTGGAAATCCACACACCCCTTCTGTGTGGTGTCCATTCTGTGGTTTATTAGAACACTTTGATTGAATGCCTTTGAAAAATGCTTAATTTAATAATCTTTTTTATATAAATAGTGTTTTCCTTCAATATATACTATTTGTATTTATTTATGTTTTCTTTTAATGTTGTTTCTTACACTACTGCAAATGCTAAAAGATGTTCAAACAGAAAACATACACTGGTGATTACTTTAGGGGCTTGTATGCACAGGGACATGATTGTGAACAAGGTAGAGTATGAATTTAAAATGCAATGGCTATTCTGCACTAACTGTGTGTGGCTACTCTTACTCCCTAATAACAAGATGATTTTACAGTTTAAATTAATCAAGTTGGTGTAATTATAGTTGGATTTGATTTTTTCCAGCTTGGTGTTTTTTGTGTGTTGGGTTTTTGTTGTGGTGGTGGTCATGGTTGTTTGTTAATCTGGGAAAGAACATTTTTTATGGAATTCCATAACTTTTGAGTGCCTGTCTTGATAACATTACAGAAGGCAAGGTAGATTTGTACCTTTATAAACTAACTAAATACGGTATCTAGAGAGAGCACAAGCTTTCATGAACCCAAGTTCACTTCATCAGATTTTGTTATAACCTCACAAGCAACCGCCTTAGCAAACCAAAATTTAATGGAATAATTTAATCAAAAAAGGGCAGGACTTTTACTGTTGAATAGGAATGAATAGGAAAATTAATACAGAATAGTTATTCCACCTTGATCTCTTACTTTGTTTATGGGTAATTTCTTCATGTTGATAAATTCTAGGGGTATAATAATTGTGCAAGCATATAATTTTTCAGATTTAACTGTGCAGCTATCATTAAAATCCACAATAGTTTATGTAAGCCAAAGAGGGCCGGACATTCTGGCAGGTGTGCCACAATTTGGCCATGTACCCTCCCCAAGTACCACTCCAATCCCCTTATTCTGCTTAAACTGCTTTTCTGCTTTCTACTCTGCCTTCTGCTTCCTGCTGTGCGGCCTGTCCTCTCCCTGATCTCTCATGTGTTGCTTACACAAGCTACCCAGGCCACTTGTGCCACTCATACTGAAGGGTGTTTACCCTTGATATAAGCTATTTGCGTAGGTATTTATATACATTTAAAATAGAGGGTCCTATACCTGACCTGATGTTGAAGTATTTCTACTTCTTTTCTAAATAGGCATATTAAGTATTTTTTTAAAAATAGTGCATGTAATCATGTGACCATGTGTCAGCCACTTGCCATGCTGCAGTATCCAGAAGTTATTCATCATTATTATTATTGTTGTTGTTATTGTTATAGTTGTTATTAATAGTAATAATTATTATTGACAAGACTATTTTTAGCTACATAAGCATATCAAAACAATTATGTTATTCAGGAAATGTAGAATGGGCTATGTGTATATATTCCCTTTTTTTCACCATTACATTCATCTTCAATTTCTCCAACAGAAAGGAGAGCCCAATTGTAGTGTTCTTTCACCGGAAACCACAGAACAGCTGACATTCGAGATCCCTCTGAATGACTCTGGTTCTGCAGGACTTGGTGTGAGTTTAAAAGGCAACAAATCTCGAGAGACTGGGGCTGACCTTGGGATTTTCATCAAATCAGTAATCCATGGAGGAGCTGCTTTTAAGGTATAGTAGAATTGCATTAGTTCTTGGTAATGGTTACATTCAGATGTTCATATATTCAGTTGTGATTTTGGTTCATCTAGGCGTCTTTTTGAGGAACACTTGCAATAGAGTGCTGTTCTAATAACAGTGTTCCGCTCTCTCGAGATAATATATGAAATAATATATATAAACTTTTAATCCACAAATGTTGACTTTCTAATTAAGGCGACTCAAATGCTGCTTGACTCGATAAAGAGATTTTACCAACTGCATACCGTTGTTTAAAAAAAAAACTTTTAAAATGATGGTAGAATTATGACTATTTTGAGTGAAACTGAGGGAGTGAAATTCACTTTGAGTAAAATTTTTGAATATGTCTAAATGAATATGATTTAGATTTCCTTATTCATATAGGCACTTTTGGAAATTCTGCCCTTTGTCTGAGACTTGAGGTTTCTGTGGATGTTGGAGAGGGTAGAACACATGAACTGAGATTAATGATTTCCTTAATTTTAATAAATACACTGATAGAAAATGCTCCTGAGCTGGTTTAATTGTATGTTTGCCATTTCAGTGTGAGATTTTCCCCTGTGTGTTTAACAGGAAATGTTTTAAATAGGCCTGATGTGTAAGAATTGAAAGAGGATGACCAAGCTTAAACAGATGCCATGAGGCATATCATAGCAGCAGTGGTGACTGTAGTAGGTCTCTCTTGCTGGCAGATTTCTGTATTTGAGATACATATATTTAGAATGATTTATAACTCTGTGGACTCTGAAGGAAGGAAGAGGGTAGGGTAGGAATATTAATTAAAATGCTAAATTTGACGAGCTTAGAATTTCAAACATGGAAAAAAAAGTTTTTCTCACTGTCCTTTATGCTCTACCACTGCCCCCTCCCAGCCCTTTTTATGTCACCCCTGTCCGTTTCCATGTCCCTGTCCACTGCATATCAGTGAGGCTCTGCACCCTGGGTGGGACAGGCAGAAGCAGGGGCTAGCTGTGGCAGTGGGATGACAGTGCTGATAGCTGCCATTCTTGTACCCTCTCAAAATGAATATTTGAGGCTGGTGTTCTGGGCACCCATTGCTTGTTACATTACTGCTTCTGGTTATCTCTGACTTACGAAGCTGAGAATTCCCTGTTACCTTTTGCCTCTAAATCCTTCGGCCTCCTCTAGACTTGTCAAATTATGCCACAGAGTACCCGGGTCTCTCTTATCTAGCAAGGTCAGTCAGAAGGGAACTCCATGATGTAGACCTCTGGAAAACATTTTAGCTGTTACAGTAAGGAGACGCAGTGTAGAGTATGATGGAATTGTCAAGTGGGGAAACTGCCTCCCTCACATGATCTAGGACTCAACACAAGCTCATTATGAAAATTCAGGGCTCTGTTGCATTCTGTGAAGCAAAAAAAAATAAAATGTAAAGTTTTCTCTCCACTGATTTCTTTCCAGAGTTGTAGAGGTGACCCGTAGATCTGTGAAGCAGCACCAAAGAGGCTGAAATGACAAATTTATTTCACATTTAAAAC